GCTTGTAATCTCTGAGCGCAAATCGCAAAACTCGATTGCACATGCGGCTCAGAAGTTAATAGGCTTCTTAATCAGATCAGTCATGATTTGGACAAAATTGTTTTGATTGCACAAAAAATGGCTGTAGGAAGAAAAAGTGCGAAATTTTTGTGTTGGGAAAGATTTCTCTTCTTGATGTGCAGATCAAACACGTCTTGGCATCGATAATAATCTGAAGCTGTATTGAAACTCCAGGCTTCCCTCTACTGAAAGTATAAAAAACCTGGTGTCAAAGTCGACCGAGCGCCAAAAAAATGCGTTTGAAAATGAAATTTCCAAAAATGCCCAGGAACTTTCTTTACAACCTAATATTTCAGTAAATACGTGAGTAACTTCATTGACATACAGGGTGTCCCAAAAAAACGTATCTAACATTTGATCGTTAATATCTCTCTTCCCAAGGAGTCTTTTGCCTTGCTTTAGGTACCATTTTGTAGAGCTGGCTTCAGCTTAGATTTAAGTTATAGAACGAATCACCCATCTCTCTTCATTACTGTAGGATTACGGTAGAAACTTGAAACATATGGTGTCAATGTGGAAAAAGCTGCCGTTTCAAAATTTTTCAAAAAAATGTAAAAACTTGTGTATTGGGGTTTTTATGGACGCTGAGTTCAATACTCAACTATTCACAAGAGTACAAAGCTTTCTAAACGGTGTAACCGCACTTTTTAGGAACATTGAAAAAATGGCCGCTACCTCTTACCTGGCATAACTCTTCAATGAAGCATCATAATAAATTGGGAACTTTACAGTTATAATCAGCAACCCTAATTAGCCTAGTGTAAAAGTTTTCAGGCTGTTTTGTTTCCTTTCTGGGGCAAAATATGGCCTTTCATTGCTTAAAACCCTTTATAAAGTTTCTACCGTAATCCTACAGTAATGAAGAGAGATGAGTGAATCGTTCTATAAAGCAAATCTAAGTTGAAGCCAGCTCTACAGATTGGTACCTGAGGCAAGGGAAAAGACTTCCTTAGAAGAGAGGTATTAACAATCAAACGTTCGATACATTTTTTTGGGACACCCTGTATATACACGAAGGCTTCACACGTAAATTTTTCTCAAGGCTTTTTCGTCGTTCTCTAGAAGTGAACAATAGGCGGCAAATTTCCGACGTATTTCTCAGTGAACCTGCAAATAAGTTTTGACAATCATAATAATAATATTTAGAATCAACATGTAATCAAATTTAATTTTAATAATGCCAATAATTTTATAATTTTGCTTAAAATGTTGATTTCTTAGCCTGACTTCTTCCAGTTTTTCTTCTTCGACTTTCAGCGGGTAAAACCCAATATTCGACTTCAACCCGGTTTGGCTACAATTTCACTTGATGCATGATGAAAATCTTCGGCAACATGAGAAGCAATGATGACGAGCATTGACCCCCCCCCCCCCCCGGACACACCTGACAGCGGCGGCCGCTCCCCCATCCCCCGTCGGCCCTCATTCCCCCTTCACCCTGGAGAGGCGGGACCCCTATGACCCCCTTCACCTTGGAGAGGCCATGTTCCCCCTTTGCACACGTATGCTTCTACTGCTTCTAACTACGCAATATATGCCCATTAGGAAGCCACTAAGACATAGCTATGAAGAGAACCATTTGGTTATTTAAACAAAGATGGAAGCAAGCAAATTCTTTGCGAAACTCATTTATGAATTTTTGTAAATGGCGCGGCGGAACTTTCGGGCCAACCTAATACAGTGCTGGACATAATTATAGAAACACTCTAGAAATCGTCGTAATTTTCGTTTTTGTCAGTGAATCTGTCTTAAACTTTGCTGTATGGTGCGCATGTAAGCCTACCATAACTTCTCGGAACCGCTTCCAATCCCGTTGATTTCGAACGGAGAAAAATGGAAAAATTCGAAAAAGGCTGCTTTGCAAGCTGGACATAATTATGAAGACACCTGGACTTTTTGAACACTATTGCATTCCTTGACTCCCAAATTTTTTTGTGGAGTTACATCCCAGAATATGAAACTTTTGCAGCACCTAGGACCTGTCATCAAGGAAAGATAATCCTTGCATTTTTCGCTTCCAAAGGCATCAGAAGTCAAACTGCTTCAATAAATAACTGGTTTGAAGAGTTTTCAAGCCCTTGTTTATTTCAAATGATAATCATAGAGCCTACTGATCCTTCTGGATAAATGAGGTGAAGAGCGCTTTCGTAAACTCTGCGTAATCGCTGATTCTGGCGGACAGACTCCAACCTCACTATAGGGTTGTCGCGCTTTTGCACTACAAAACTCGATTTTCAAGTTACAGAAAACGCTAATGTAGCCGCAACAATATACGTTCAACAATAAACTTTGGTGCCTAGTCAGGAATAAATTTCAGGGTTGCACATTCTGGTTCAGCCGCAGTTGTCATCCGTTGAGAGTTGAGTCGAGCACCCTGCACAATCATATCCAACTCAAATCAAGAAATCGAACAGGAGACCGCTTTAAACTTCAAAATCTTGCTAATCTCAGCTACCGCGCAAATTGCGACATGAAACAGAGTAGTAAGATTTGTGATTATGTTGATCTACTGCTCGCATAGAATTTTTTGAAAGTATTTCAGATCTAAATGGCAACTGCAGCACTGGAAAAAATCTAAAAGTTGTTGCAAAAGATGCATCTCCATGTAGACAATGTAATGAATCGAGTCCATCACTTCACGACCATTGGAAAGTGAGTTTTGTGGTGCAAAAGCGCGACAACCCTATGGTGAGGCTGAAGTCTGTCCGTCAAAATCAGCGATTACGCAGAGTTTACGAAAGCGCTCTTCACCTCATCTATCCAGAAGGATCAGTAGACTCCATGATTATCATTTGAAATGAACAAGGGCTTGAAAACTCTTCAAACCAGTTGTTTACTGAAGCATTTTGACTTCTGATGCCTTTGGAAACGAAAAATGCAAGGATCATCTTTCCTTGAGTAGCATGACAGGTCCTAGGTGCTGCAAAAGTTTCATATTCTGGGATGTAACTCTACAAAAAAAATTTGGGAGTCAAGGAATGCGATAATGTTTGAAAAGGCCAGGTGTCTTTATAATTATGTCCACTTGCAAAACAGGCTTTTTCGAATTTTTCCATTTTTCTCCGTTCGAAATCAACGGGATTGGAAGCCGTTCCGAGAAGTCATGGTAGGCTTACATGCGCACCATACAGCAAAGTTTCAGACAGATTCACTGACAAGAACGAAAATTACGACGATTTCTAGAGTGTCTCTATAATTATGTCCAGGGCTCGGCACGAGGTGGCTTACAAGCAAGCTGGATATCGTTTTTGAGACGAAAAGCAAAGGGGGTTTCGTTTTTGTGACCGAAGAGACACGGAAAATTTGCGACGGCGACTTTTTTTTTAGTCGACGTTTCGTTTTTTGGGGGATTTTGGGGAATTTTTCAGGTTTTTAGAGGAAATTTGGTTGAGGGTCAAAGGGGACTTCGTAAAAATTCCCAAAAATCAAGGGGGACTTCGTTTTTTCCATTTTCATCTAGCCACCTCGTGCCGAGCCCTGATTATGTCCAGCACTGTATATGCCTACAGCTTGCTGAATCTTGAAAAATTGTTCGTAACATTCAGCATTTCATTGTAATTTCTTAAAAACAATTTTTTTAGCAAATAGAAAAAGATGGTGCTCATGGATATTTGGAAGTTGGTAGTCGTAAGTGTTGGTCCTCAGCTACTCTAGTATTAGGTTGCTGCATAAGTTCTGTCCGATTTGGATTTTTTGAGTTCAGAATGTCATAACTTCTTTCAAAGTCAACTTTAATCTAAGGTCTTAGCTTCTTTGTGTTAAGCAGTCCTTGGTTATCATACACATATTTAGATTTGCGAAAATCCTTGTTAAGGAAGAAGCAAGAACTTGAAAAGTTCACAGCGTTTTTCTTCAAACCTGTCTTTTTTGATCTAGCAATGCTCCCTTATAAGAATTGATAGGCATTTTGTGACAATGATTAGATAGAGCAATTTTCGTAGATTATTTTGCAACATAAAAGAGTCCATAGGGTCTGCGTTGCCGAGAGATTTTTTTGACCGAGGAAAAAAGAAGCCACTTTTTGACCTCGCTTTAGCGCATGTGTGCATGCCTATTTACGAATTATGAGAATTTTACAATTAATGTAAGCGCCGAAAAGGTAATGGTGGATGAACCCTGCTAGCTCTTGCTTTGCCTTAGCATCTCCAACCTTGAACTCATCGATCACTTGTATTCGAGGAAGTTATTGCTTGTAAAACATCTATACAAAGAATTAATGTTCGACAATAAATTTTACTACCAAGACGTTCTTTACATGAAACTGAGCTTCTGCATATACTAGCCTTCTACACCCTTAATCCGTAGGCAATGAAAGACTTGAAGGGCGCATTGTGGAGATTTCCTCGCAAGAACATATCTCTAGGGTGAGAACGTTACCTCGGCCACTTGGAGATTTTAAGCCTAATCTCCTTGCTCTAAGAAATTTATTGAAATTTGGTATGCGCTAGAAAGAGCAAGAAAAGCGCTTTCTACCCATATTAGCAATACCGCATTAGATATGAAATTCTCTTGGAACAATTGCTTCAAACATTGGGCAAAAAAATTGGGCATTACTTATGCAGCAACCTAATATTTAGACCCAGCAAACCCTGCAGGGTCGACAACTGGGAAGATGATCTTCGAGTCGCGCTAATTTTTCTTTAACGGCGAAGATGCATTGGGTTTTTCTTTTCAGCCATTGCCTGTGATTCTATCATTCCATAATTCCCGTAGTTTCTCTATATCCCGCGAATCACTGCGTTCCCCATAAGGTGCAAATTTTTTATATTCAGTGCAGGTTCACTAGCGTGTGGTATTTATGTGCAAAAATTTGACTCCAAATGCGATTATCAAAGTAATCGTTATCGGAGAGCGTGATCTCGCATTGCATGGCACTTAAGAATTGCAAAAATCAAAAAATCATAAAATCTGCTGTTGAGATAGCTTGTACCTTTGCGAATAGTAAAGAACTGCTTTATTGCGGGGCTGTGTTATAAACGCAGTGGTAATAAAATCTTCGCTAGAGTTAGGTTTTATCAAGGCAGTTCACGCGTGATACAAATGCAAGTGATTTAAATCGACTACTTATGTACCGAGGGATCCATAATACGGGAAACTTGCATACATATCAGTCTTGCGAGGGTGATGGATCGGGTAGAACTTAGCTACCCTAACTTCAGCAATTGACCAGATAATCTTCTCGATCCGTTTCTATAAAGCAATTATTGTTCTGCAAATAAGTCTGACAAGGGAATTGTCACAAATCGCAGTGACCGTTTGAGATGGGATGGGTGGTGTGACACGTCACTTGGAAGGGCATTTCCAAAACCACCCTCGCTAGCTGCAGAACAACTCTGGGAGGGCAGCTATAGCCCGTATACGGGAATTTTTCCGCGCGAGAGCCAGCGCGCCTTGCTCAAATACGACAGCCACCCTCAGTCAATCGTACCGATGTAGCGCAGTAGCAAGTGTAGACTACCATGCGGATGCTTGGAGGTTCGACTCCTATGTTGGACAGCTTTTTGCTTTTTTCTATATACAAACTTCTAAAATGTGTACATTAGTGACTAAAACGTGTTTTACCCCTTTACTGGTACTTAAAAAAAGAAAAACTTCTTTGTTTACTTAAAATTAGAAGAATATTTTCATTTCGAAAGTCTCCTGCACGCAGGTGAAGCATTCAGTTAGATAAAACTTTATTGTCAGAATTGTCGCGCTTAACCCATTGGCGACAATGTGGACCATTGGTTGTCCACGCGCTTTTTGAGCCAGGGACAATGTGGACCCCGGTGGCCCACACCTCTTGCAAAGACGTATCATTTGCAGGTCTAGTATTTTTTCCAAATTTCAATATTTTTTCCAATTTTTTGTATTCTTGGGACCTGTAGGTTCCGTCGTTCAAGAAGATGTTAGTAGTTGTTTAACAACGTTGCATTTCGTAAATAAGCACAAAACCTCCTCACACTGAAAGTGTTGTGCAAAACCGCGTCGTCCCACAGCGCCGCCACGCAAAATTAGGCGTCGTCGTCAGTGGGTTAATCTGCGTTTGGCGCTCATTTCGTTCAATTTTTTCATTTCCGCACGTTTCTTGTGCTCTCTCGCATAGTTTCACCATATTTGATAATCTTTTTGAAGAAAAGCATCATAGTGTGCTTTTTTGCTTTTAAGTACCAGTAAAGGGGTAAAACAGTAAAGGGGTTTTAGTCACTAATGTACACATTTTAGAAGTTTGTATATAGATTACAAAAAAGTTGTCTCATATAAGAGTCGAACTTCCAAATATCCGCACGTTATCAGCACACTTGCCACTGCGCCACACCGGTACGGTTGACTGAGGGTGGCTATCGTATTTGAGCAAGGCGCGCTGGGTCTCGCGCAGAAAAACTCCCGTATACGGGCTATAGCTACCCTCCCAGAGTTGTTCTGCAGCTAACGAGGGTGGTTTTGGAAATGACCTTCCAAGTGACGTGTCACACCATCCATCTCATCTCAAACGACCACTGCAATTTGTGACACTTCCCCTGTGAGAAAAACAATATTTAATAAAAATCACTTCTTGATTCTGATAAAAGTGCACTTTTACCTTTATTTTAAGCTTACCGAGAATTGATTTTATCCCTCTTTTATAGTTTGTTCCTTCGAGATATTGAGAAAGCTCACGACAAAGTCCAGGTTTCAAAGACATAGCCAACACATGCCTTGCAAAACTGAAAAGATATTTTTAGATGTATTTTTTGCTGATTGAAAAAAAGCTCACTCTCTCGCTTGCGATATTCCCGTACGTCGCTCTTTTTCTATAGTATATGTTAGCTGAAAGAGGTGCTGTTGGATTTGTATCTTTAATAATGAAAAGGGTGACTAGATTTGTCAAGAGACTGTTACTTTGATAAGATCAAATATTACAAAATGAGGCGGCAGGGAAATCAATCTATTATCCTACCTTCTGGATGAATCTAAACGCTTCCTTGCTTAGGCGGAACTGAGTAAAGGTGATCGCATTAAATTTTTTCGTCAACTCGCGGTTCACAGCGAGGACTCGACCAAACTGCAAAATTATGGTAAATACACGATTCAAATCACTAATTTTTAGCAAAAAAAAATCACAGAAAAAGGAAAAAATTTTAAAAAGCTGTGTAGAGGCTACATGAGTTAGACCATACAATAGAAGCATTCACTTCCTTTAACAATCAAGCCTAACCCGTTCTGGTCCTCCTTCCTTTAGTGCGATTGTGCCAGCTGATTCTATTAGCATATATTCTTCCTGGTTAAGTCCAAGGAAATCCTCTGTATAATCGTGGAGCCACGGTCCTAGAAGAAATATTTTCAAACCTCTCAAATGTTATCCGTAGAAATCTTTGAAACTTACTTCTTTTCAGTTCGTTCTCTTTATGAGGTTTTTTCGAATCTCGGCCATCGACATAAGATAGGGAAGAGACTAAGATGTTTGCAACGAAGACGTAGATTGTGAAATTCATTACTTCGCTCAACACCATATGGAAATACCCTTTTTGTATGCTGGCTAGCGAGGAGGGCCGTGAGATATGACAGAAGAATGCTTTTTTCCTATTTTCAAGTGCGTAGTTGAGTGCTTTATGCATAACGCTGCATTAGATACTTTTAAAAACATTAAGTGACGTTTAATTGAAGATTACGAAAGGAAAAACGTGGCAATACATTTCTAAAGACTTCAAACGACTCGATTGATTTCAGAATGTAAAAGCCAATGTAAACGCAAAAACAGTATTATGAATGGGCGGAAACATGGGAAGGCAGTATCTTCATCTTGTATTTTATAAACCCTGGAAGTCTCCTCAAACCGTCGGAGATAATCGCCTGGGGCAGGTCCGCAAACTCGCGCTTTTCTGCAGGTGAGCAATTTTGGGGCGTGGCCAAATTAGCGAGCAGTAATTCCTTTACTGTCTAATGTTCTGCCAGCGGGCAACAACACAGAATTTTCTGCAGGCGCTCGTCAAATAATCTCTTTCACCAAATGCTGACCGAACTTCCAGCAAGCGCTCGGACTCTTTTTACGCAGTTTCGGGCTTACGTCGAGCACACTCATATAATCGCCAGGGGCAGGCGGCCATGCGATTTATGGGCGGGCGGGCAAAATAGTTCGCTGATTTCTTGCGGTCCGCTTGCAGATATTTGCAAGAAGTTTGGCGAAATCTTGGACGAATGCTTGGAGAACAATCGCGGTTTACTTATAGATTAGCTGCGGCGCAGTGGCCGCATTCTCGGGGACTTTCCGCGAGAAAAGGCAAAATTTTCGAGGGCCGCACGTTCCTTTGTGGAGGACCGCGCAGCCCTCAGGTACTTTCCGCCGAGAGAAAGTACCTCAAACTTGAGTCATTAAACCAATGGTGACACCTCTGCTACACATAGTCTCATCTGTGCTCGGCGTATGCCCGAAACTGCTTAAAAAGAGTTCAAGCGCTTGCTGAAAATTTGGCCAGCGCTCGCTGAAAGAAATTATTTGCCCAGCGCTTGCAGAAAATGCTGTATTGCTGCCCGCAGGCAGAATATGCGACCGTAAAGGAAGTGGCGCCAGCTGAAGGTTTACCCACGCCCCAAAATTCTGCTGACCGCTTGCAGAAAAGCGCGAGTTTGCGGACCGCCTGCCCCCGGCGATTATCTGAGCAGGTGAGGCTTTGTGTGGGAGAGGTGTCACCGCCATCACAAAGGACCATGCGGCCCCCGAAAATTTTGCATATTCTCGCGGAAAGTTCAGCGCGCATTTTCCAGGACCGCTCACTCAGCCGCTCAGATAATCGCTGGGGGCAGGCGCCCATGCGATTTATGGGCGGGCGGGCACCGGAAAAATAGTTCGCTGATTTCTTGCGGTCCACATGCAGATGTTTGGAAGAGTTTTGGCAGAATTTTAGACGAATGCTTGAAGAACAATCGCATTTTCCTTATAGAGTAGCTGCGGCGCATTGGCCGCATTCTTGCGGACTTTCCGCGAGAATATGCAAAAATATTGAGGGCCGTACGGTCCTTTATGAAGGACAGCACAACCCGTAAGTACCTTCCGCTGGGAGAAAGTTTCTCCTCGGGTAATCAATGTTGCCCTTGCTCGGCGTACGCCCGAAACTGCGAAACAAAAGCGCTCGCTGAAAGAAATTATTCGATGAGCGCCTGGAGAAAATGCACTATTGCTGTCCGCTGACAGAACATTAAACAGTAAAGGAAGTACCGCCCGCTGAAAGTTTGGCCACCCAAAATTCTGCTCACCGCCTGCGGAAAAGCGCGAGTTTGCGGACCGCCTGCCCCCGGCGATCATCTGAGCGTATGCTGTAAGCTAAGCAAGCTAAGCTCAAGACGCCTAACTTAGGATGGACGATGCTTTTGAAACCGGCGTCTCTAGTTTTACGTCTTCGCCCAGTCATGGCCTTCACAGTTGGCTATTGAGTGTTAAAAAAGTGCACAAACTCCTAATTTTAGTGACTTTTGAAGAATTACGATTCGACTAAAAAGCAAAAGTTTTACTGAGAGCAGTCAAAATCGCCTGCAGTAACGGCGGTAAGGGCTTTTGGCAGATGATCCAGAACATAAACAGAGATGAGGATAGTTTAGTTTAACTGCAAGTGCTGTCACACTTTTAGCACAACGCTCTAACTGTAGCAACTGTGCCTGAATGTGCTGTACACGTGCGACCGCGTGGTTGCAGTGTCAAGAGATAGGAAATATGCATATAGGCATATTTTTTCATCGTTTTACTGAAAAAGGATTCCAAATCGCAGTGATTATTTGGGACGAAATGCATACATTTAGATGTGTCTTGTTGAGCTGATTCCAATTATAACGTGTACCTGTTACGCAGTTCCCTAGAAGAACGTGAGCGTTTTAAGGTCCAGGTTTGGCTGACAATTAGTACCTCAACTTCAACAGTTGTTCAAAAACACATCTGTAATGCCGCATGTGCGTTCCCATTTAGTACCCTTAACATGCTGATTGTGATCCCCAAGCTGGTTTTACAAGCACTTTGTGCATTAGTCAGTAATTCCTCACATTTAACCTCATCAAGACGCATTTAACGATATGCATTCTATTATTTTGTCCCAAAAGTTCTGTTGTTTCATTTTTGAAAATTTTGTAACATTGCACCATCTCAACGGATTTGCATCGATGTAATTATATTTGGAAGAGTAAGTCTTCCGCTTCCGAATACTCCTTCCTGTCCTCTAATACACACTGACTGCAGAGATAAAAATGCAAAAAGAAAACCATATAAACTTTGGTCATTTTGAGTTAGGTCGTCAAAAGTCAGAAACGCTGCGGAAAAATCTGAAAACGTGAGCGCACAGCTTTTTTTACCTACTCTTACCGTGAAAGGTTTGTGCTGTTTGGATGTCTCTGTGAAAAGTTGCGAATTTCGACTTTACTGTATAAAATGCCGAAATCAATTAACTTGTCACTTTTCTCAAAAATCATAACTTTTTAGAGGCACATCCAAACAGCACAAGAATTTCACAGCTGTAAAGGGTAGGTCAAAAAACCTATGTACTTACGTTTTCAGAATTTTCCGCAGCGGTATAGGTTTTTGTCGACCTAACTCAAAACGACCAAAATTTACAAGGTCTCCTTTTTCCATTTTTATCCCTGCAGTCAGTGTGTACTAAAAGCTAGGAAAGAAATATTCGAAAGCTAAAGACTCTTACAAAATTACTCTTTCAAAATTTATTATAAGGATGCAAATCCGTTGAGATATGCAATGTTACAAATTTTCAAAAATGAAACGACAGAACTTTCGGGACAACCTAATATTTTAGGATCCCTTCTCTTGCTAAAGCAGGCCTGTTTTCGCTTGTTCTTAGCTTCACTTTATATTGGAAAAAAATTCCTCTTGAAGCGTAATTTGAAAGGCCATTTTGCTCTGTGCGTAAAACGGTGTCAATTAATGAATTAGTGTTTTGCAAAGTAACTTCGTCAGCGGCATAGCCAGCTGTCTTGAGGACATAAACAAATTTCACAGTAGCAGAAATCGAAGACTTTTTTCTGCGCTCTGATGGGATGATGGTTTTGAGCATCATCAGCGCCGTTTGTTTACACCAAACACTTTGTTCGTTCATTTTATGTTATTCATTAGTCATTCTTGTGGTAATTCTAGCCTCTTTTACTCCCTATCCATATTTCATCTGATGCAATCTTAAAACTATCCTTATGATGAAGATGCGTCTATCTGACAACATGTGGAGTTCGCAGGATTTCCGTCCGAGAGGAGCGGGGGGGGGGGCAGAATTTGTTTTAAATTCTCAATTTCAATCATTTTTTTTTCTTTTTTCGCCCCGAAAAGTTTTTTGGGGCGCTTCTCAAGATTTTTGTGGTCGCTTATAACTCCTAAAATCTAAAAAAGGGGACGTGGTTGCCGCACGCCCCCGAAAAAATTTCTCAGGGCTAATTTGATTTTTTAAAATTCGAAAATTATTTTGATTGTTTTTTAAAGAAACCAAGTCATTTGCACATTTTTATAAGCCCTGTGAGTAAAATTTCAAAAAATTTCGCGACCCATCCTTGGGTGAGGGGGGGGGGCTCCCCTGAGGACGATTCCGCCACTGCTCGCTTGTCATAGAGCCTTTCGAAAAGCTTCGGACACGATCTTCTAAAGTTGGCTTCAGCTTAGATTTACAGTATGGCGCAAATCAATGGTCGCTCTTCACTACTATAGAATTACGGTAGGAGCTTCTGGGTCACTGTGAAAAAGCTACCGTTCAATCATTTCAAAACAAATCTGGAAACTTGTGTAAGAGGGTTTTTATAAATGCGGAAATGCTCAACCTAGTACAAGTTTGTGAAGCTTTTTAACAGGTGTAATCACATCTTTTCAGGAACACCGTGAAAACAACGCTACCGCCTATATGGCATAATTAAAGAAGCATCATGAAAAATGCCAAAATCCCATATAGAGTCGGCAACTCTAACTTAATGTAAAATTTTTCAGGTCGTTTTGTTTTGTTCTTGAGGCAACGTACGGCCCTTCACGACTTAAAACCCTCTTCAAAGTTTCTATCGTAATCCTACAGCGATGAAGAGAGATTGGTGATTCTCGCCAAATTGCAAATCTAAGAAGCCAGCTCTGTAAATGGTACCTAGCTTTTCGGAAAAGAAAGCTGCTCGTATCTCGCTTCACAGAAAAGCTAGAAAAAAAAAGAGACGGTCCATATCGTTTCCACGTATTCTTAGCTATCGAATAGTATACAAAGTGTTGGTGCACAAAGCTTTCCCAGTCCAAAAAAGTCTTGCTCCGGCGACCGGAGCGGCGGGGTGGAGCAGTTACTATTGAATATACTTGGGTAAATCGAGAATTTTTCATCGAATGAATGAATATCGAATAAATTCGAAAAGGAAAAATTTCGAATAAACGAATATCGAATAAATTCGGAAAATCAAAAATATCGAATGAACGAATTTCGAATAAATTCGGAAAATCAAAAATATCGAATGAATGAATTTCGAATAAATTCGGAAAATCAAAAATATCGAATGAATAGATATCGAATATATTCGAACATTGGAAGTCGAATTTCGAATAAATATTCGAATGATTTATCGAATAACTAAAGCAATCACAT